CTAAAAGACATGCACAGACCTGTTTGTCCCCTTATCTACACTAAAGATCCTTTGTGAAACAGAGGCCAGTGGCCTTGTCTGAATTGCAACTATAAACATTTAATTTTAAACGCCATACAAATGCTGAGAGATCTACAAGGTGCTCAATTATCAAGGAAAACACATCCTTTGGATGATTTGCTGTCTAACCCTTCTCAGACTCTTATAAGTGTCCCATTCTCTCACCCAGAAGTCTCGATTTCTCTCCCAGAAGTCTCCAGTCTCTTTCCTGTTCCCTCTCCCCCTTGACAGTGTACTCCGGCCAAAATTAACTCTTGTCTTTCTAATTCCTTTCTACTGGTAAATTCTTTTACCAGCCCTCCCCACCAGCCCTCCATACACCATCTCTCACAGCACTTCCTAATTTATACACCAATTCATCTCAAAAGATAATTAAGTACTAGTAACAATACTATTACTAATATAATAACATTTACTGGCTGTTGGCACTGGTCAGGAACACTAAACATACATTTTCTTATTTGACTTTCAGTGAACCTTTGTGGCCAATGAACTAATATGTTGTATGCTGGCAAGTCCATTTAATAGTAGCAATAATATATTCATGTAGACACTTTTCTGAGTAATGAAACCTACACTACATTGTAATGCATCCAGGAAAGCATGTGCATTGTAGCATGCTATGTTGACATCTCTGTTTGACACTAGAGGATGCGAGTTCTTGGGAGCTGAGTTCATTTCCAGCCACAGCCCCCAGCTCTTCTGAGAGTTCCTTGGTGGTCTTCTGCAGCCTTGATGAACAAGTGAAATGATTTCATTAATAGCATCTATTTGTATGCTGGGTCACTTCTCAGATGCTTAAAAATAGTTCTCTTAAGCGGGAAATGCTTTTCTCCCGAATTATTTATTATGTGTAAAAAATATATCCTTTACTGCAAAGCCTGGGCACACTTTCCCTGTACGCTTGACTGGCTTCAGAACAAGGCTGTGGCTGTGTTTGGCCTGGGAGCAGGAGGAGAAAGCCCTCCTCCACGCCCTGGGCTCTGCTCTGCTCCCCCTCCTTGCAGTGCAAGCGTTAGCTTCCCTGACAGCTTCGTGTTCAGTCGCTAAATACCCATTCAGCCCCAGGTTGGAGGGAAGGGGGAAGAAGGACCCAGGAGCAGCCAGGGCCCTTGGATGGGTCCAAAGTCAACGTGCACTGTGGCATTTCATGCCTGTTAAAAGGAAAAACTGTGAGCATCTTTGGTTCACAGAAATGGAAATGATAAAGGCTTTTGTATTTAAACAGCAGAAGAATTGAAGAGGATCCACAGAAATCATTTTATTTCACTCAGCACCTCCCTGGCTCATATGGTCCTCATAGAACACTTGTGTGTCTGCTTTTACCTTGTGGTAAGGGAATTTCTGTCCCTGTGTCTCCTCCTCACTGTGGCCTTCACATGTCTGACTTGCTAGAAGTGTCAATCACTCAATTCGGCTTTCTCCCCGGCTCTGCCCTTTGTCCTGCCCTTGTCCTCAAGGCACAGGCAAATGGAATCAGCCTTGGGTGCTTTGCTGACAGCCTTTCTGATGTCATACTTGGATTTCATATTTGCCTTCTGCAGTCTCCATCTCCACCCCATGTCACAGTCATGGAGCTTGGATTGTGATCTCTAACCAGTGCAACTCAATTTCTTCTCCTTCATTTCCTTCCTTTCCTCCTACCCCTTTTATTCCTTGTATTTTCACTGTAATCTCTTTCTACTGACCTCTTCATTGTTGGCATGCCTAGTACCTCCTAGGGTCAATCTAAAGAAGCCTGCGGTCACCTTTTGACATGTACTTGTAGGTGATGGTGGTGTTGACTTCCTGGGGCTGATGGTATCTGCAAAGGTCTCCCACTGTCACTGTGTCATCTCAGCTCCTACACAGACTTCATCCCCTTATTCAGTTGGAAAAGGCATCATTCCCCCTGCAGACACTCCAGGGAAAGTTCCCCTCACTTGGAACCCCTGGCTCACTAAGTCTACTTGCTTTGCAAGCCAGCACCCCACCTTCACCACCAACCACATCTTTCAGCCTCTCTCACCTGGCGTCAGGACACTGTTGTGCTGTGCTGTGGGACCCACTTGTTACACAGAATTGCAAGGAGAGTCAGACCCAGAAGCTCTGCTGCTTTCTCTGTACCAGAAGCTACAGTTTAAAATTTCTCCTTTTCTCAGTTTGGGATGTCATGAGGCAGAAGTGAGGTTTTGAGAAGAGACGACCTTAGCTAATTGGAGGCAGAGAACATAAAGCTTGTGTTTTTAAGGAAACAAAGAAACACTTCTCTGTGTGTGTGTGTGTGTGTGTACTAAACTGAAGTCTATTCAGGAAAAATAAAAATTAGAATGGTGTGGCAATGCTTAAGTCCTATGTCCATTGAGAAAAAAACCTTGGCCCTGGTTGTCCCTTAGGCAGGCCATGTGACTGTAGCTATTCTAGGTCCTGTGAGCATGTCCAAGCCTATTATCGCTGTAAGGTTCAGCTATGCCTCACAGCTGAGTTCCAGAGCTGCCACACTGAGCTGTAAATCTCAGCTGTGCCTTCCAAGTTGTGGCACTTGGCCATGTCTCTGAGCAGTGGTGCTTAGCTGCAATGCTGAGCTGTAACACTTGGCTATAGCACAGAGCTGCTCCACTCTGCTGTAGCATAATGAGCCCTTGGCAGACACTAAATCTGCTCATGCCTTGGTCTTGGACCTCCAGCCTCCAGAACTGGGAGAAATAAATTTTTCCAGTTTATTAACCACATGGTCCATGGTTCTTTGCAGCCCAAATGGACAAGAGATGGGGCCAGTGGAGCAAGATGGGAGCAAGAATGTCATGAAAAGGGAAGAGAAAGAGCAGAAGACAAGGTAGTTACTCATGATCAATGTCAAGATAAACCAAAACTTGCCAGCTGTTTCAGATCCAAAGTTGTTCCCAGGGTGGGGAAAAGGGAGGCCAGGTGGGGACCACTGGCCTCGCCAAGTACCTGGACTTCTCAGCAGACTTTGCTTTCTTGTTTGCTTTAAAAAATTGAAACAATTTACATAGCTCCTCCAAAGGGAACACAGTGTAAGAGTAAAGTTCTGTGGGTTTCAGCAAATGTGTACAGTTGCATAACAACAACCACAATCAAGATATAGAGCACTCCCTTTACCTCGGAATGTCTCTCATGGCCCCTTCTAGCAAAATCCCCCACAACCCTGACCACAGGCAGCCAACATTCTGATTTCTATCACCAGGGAAGGCTTTGTCTCTTCATGAGTTTCATGTAAATGGAACTGTATAGCACACATTCTTTAGTGTTCAACAAGATGCTTAAAAATCTATCCACATTGTTCCACCTATCCTTGGTTTTTCATTCCTTAGCGTGTGATTAAAAATCTATCCATAATGTTAGAAATAAATCAGACGCATGAGCTTAAATATTCATGATTTCTCTTATGCTAGAAACCTAAAGCATAAATATTTTTTTAAAAAATAGAAAATATAAAACAAGGGCATAAGTATTTTGCAAATGGGAAGGAAATGTAGAGACAGAGGGAGCAATGGGAAAGGAGAGAAGGGGAAAGGGAATAAAAAGAATCAAGATGTTAGGTACATGTCCCTAATTCTTCACATGAAGTTAAGCATTTTGTACTGATAAAAATTTTCTATCCACATTGTTGTCCACAGTTATTCATTCAGGCAGTAGTGTTCCATTGTGGGTTTACTCTATTATCTGTCTGTTCATTTTCCTGCTGAAGTGCCCTGGGATTGTTTCCTTGTTTGAGTTTCTCTTGTTATTGTGAGAGAGAGCGTTTGTCCTGTGATGGCTAGCAAGGCTTGGACACTTGTGTCTGCACAACTTGGGATAGGCTGGTAAGGTCAGGACACATGGATGGTACCACAAGCTCACTGACTCAGCTGCCTGGAACTTCAGTGACTTGAGCTCTGTTTCCCATCTATGGCAGCTGGAGGAGGGCTATGTGGTCCATTCCACCTCAGAAGGTGTGTGCTCCTTTGGACAGGGACCAGGTCCCCCTCATGACTGGAGACCTGTGCTGCTCTTTGGCTCAATGTCATGAGGATGGGGCTGTGGAGTGTGCCAGAACCATCCTCAACACAGGGCATCTAAGACCCTGACTGTTTGCTGCAAGAAACTAGAAAGATGGTATGCAGCTTGCTTGGGGGCTGTCCAGGCTCTGAATGAGTGGGGACCCAAAATACCTGAGTAGATAGCAAGTGAGGGACACACAAGACAGCTCTTTAAATTTAGCTCACAATTATAAATTGTCTTAATGTCATAGATAGGAAGGCCAAGGTTTGGCTATATTATATAATTTGTTAGAGGACATCTGTTAGTGTCAGATGCAGTTCTTGGTTTTCTCCTCCTCCTCCTCCTCCTCCCCCTTCTTCCTTCTGATTCTTCTTCTCCTTCTCCATTTCCTCTCCTCCTTTAAGTTACAGGTGTTGGATATTTTGTACCAGCAATGGGAATGTGACAAATAAAAAAAATTGGTACCAAAGAAATAAGGTAATTGCTATGATTATATCTGATCATGTTGCTCAGAAGCCTTTGGAGCTGGTTTGGGGGGGGTGTAGGAAAAGGGTAATGGGAGTTGCTGGAGACCCCTGCAGTGGTCTTGGCCTCCTGCAAGCCAGTATGACATCCACACGATAGGAAAGTGGGAATTAAAAGAAACACAGAGACAGAGACTTGAGAGAAAATGAGTCTTAATCCAAGCTGCTCTGAGCAGCAAAGACAAAGAACTACCAGAACATCCAGTGTTTATTCATCTACAAGTGTGGGAAGGGGGAAACTGGGCAGGCCTTCGGACATGGGACTGCAGAATGAAGATACAAACATATCTTTGCTGAAGAGAACAAACAGTTAATTCAGAGGGGAAGAATTTAGCTGGAGTCAGGTGACCTTGACTGGGAGTGAACTCAGCCAAGCTTTGCTATTTCAGTGTAGCCAAATTAGGGAGGAGCAAGAAGCTTGTGCCACTATAGCCTGCGAATACTGGATGAAGGCGTCTGCTACAAGGGAGGAGTTTAGAAAGATTTGGAGATGCTGGCTGGAGAAGTCCTAGAAGACTGTAAGGTGAGTATGATGGATGATTCTAGTTGGAGCTTGGGAGACTGCTGACAATAAAGAAGATAGTAAAGGCCAGACTCATGAAGTTTCAGATGGGAAGGACGACTCTGTTGGAAACTGGACTAGGGCCCATTCATGTTTCTTTCTGGGAAAGTACATTTTGTTCATGTCTTAAGACTCTGTGAGGTTGAATGTAAAGGTAGTGGACTAATCAATTAGAGGAAATTTCAAGGTAGACTTGTGTTTAGGTTGTGGTATGGGTACTTCTGGGTGCTTTTAGCCAGATTTATAGTAAGAATCAGGAGAAAAGAGAACCAAGAGAAGTGAAAAGTTTGTAGTTTCACCAGAAAGACAGCACCTGCTGGCGTCAAAGAGAGGGTGGTTGCTGAGAAGATTAGCACTAAAAAAGAAACCAAGTACTTTGTTTCAGGATGATAGGAAATATGGCTTGAAGGTATCTCAGGAATTGGCCAGATCCCACCTTTTGCAGGCTCAGTGGTGTAAAAGGGTACATTCCTTTGAAAGACTCTGAATGAGTGCCTTGCTCATTCAGCATTGCCTGGGCCTAGGGAGGTATTTTCCAGTGCCAGCAATTCAGGCATGCAGAGACTGCTACAGCCATGATCCAAGGGAGCCAGGCTACAGCTCAACCTTAGCCCTCATCCACATGGAGCTGGTTTTTCAGGGCTACAGATTGTGAAATTTGCAGGGTCATGGAGGTTTTCTTTCTCTCTTTCATTCTCTCTCTCTTTCTTTTCTTCCTTCCTTTCTTTTTTATTTTTAATCTATAGAGGTTTATTTTATTGTTTAAGTATCATGCTTATTGAGGAACAATAATCTAAGTAACAGAGTTGTTGTTTATTCTTTAAATTTGTCAGTTTGCTCTGTAAGTTACTTTTTTTTTTTTTGCCCATTTGCAGTACTTGTGTGGAGTTGGTGTATCTACATAACACATCCCAATTACTTTTTTCATCCCTTATCCTCCCTCCATCTCTTGATCCCTTTCCCCTTTGAGAAGATCTATATCCTACTTCTTATTATCTATTATTTTATTATTTGCTCTTTATTTTTACTCTAGGTTTTTCATATAAGAGAGACAACGTGGTATTTAAGCTTGTGTGTCTGATTCACCCAGATTTCAAAGAAAGGCCTAGGAGGCCAGGCAGTGTGCTCCTGACAGGGCAGTGGGTGAAGCTGTGAAGTGAAGCCAAAGGATCACCGGCAATCCCAGGAAGCTGGAGATGCCAGGAACATGGTTGTTCTGCTGAGAAAAGGCACAGGCAGTGAGTGAAGCCATCCTAAGAGAGGCTACAAGGGCTGCAACCAACAAGGCCGTAGCAGTTGGGCCACTCAAGCTCTTTAAAGTTTGTATCTTACGACAACCTGCCCTGGATACTGGACATGGCACTGAGGATTTAATGTTCACTCTGCTGGTTTTTGGTCTTGGTATGTCCAAGATATGTCTCTATCCATTCCTTTTGGAATAGGAATGTTTACTCCTGGACATTGTATGTTGGAAATACTTGACTTTCTTTTTGATTTTTATAGATGCTCACAGCTAAGAGTTTGTATTGAGTCACAAAGGAGATTTTGGACTTGGACTTTTCAGCAGTGCTAGAACTGTAAAGATTTTGACAGCTCTTAGAGGCAGACTAAATATATTGGATAATGAGATGAACATGAGCCTTTTGGAGGCCAGAGTCAGAATGTTAAGGTTTAGATCTAAAATGTTTCCCCAAACTCTCATGTTTTGAGAGGTGGAATTCCTGAAAGGTGATTGCATCATGGGGGTATTATTCTGATCAGTGGACTCATCTGTGGATAAGATTAAGGAGGTTGGCCCTGGTCAGAAGAGGCAGATCACTGGGGGTGTGACCTGGAGGAATCTATTATTGTCCCTGGTTTCTCCTTCACTTGCTCTACTCCCTGCCATGAGGTGAGCAGCTGTCCTCTACCAGGCTCTTTTATCATGTTGTTTCTGCCTTGGATCCAGCCAACCATGGACTGAATCCTTGAAAAATCATGAGCTAAAATAAACCTTTTCTCTTTTAAGTTTTAGGTGCTGGGTATTTTGTTTTCTTAGTGACCATGCATATGTTATCAAGAAATGCAATACTGCAAGCCTGAGAAATTTAGAAGTTTTTATACACAAAGTGATGAGAGAGCAAAGTGTTGAAAAACCTAGCAGGCAGGATGAGGATTAATCTGCAGAGGCTATCTGGCCAAAAACAAAAAAAGTAGATAAAAACATGTTAGCAAAGATGTGGAGAAATTTCTGTAAGCAGGTGCTTCTGTTACTTTGGAAACAGCTGGCAGTTCCTCAAAAAGTTAAACATACAATTATCCCAGGGCCCAGCAGTTTCACCCCTATATAGATATCCCAGAGAAATAATAACTTGTGCTCACACAAAACCAAAAGTTCTACACAAATAGTCACAGCAGCACTATTCATAATAACCAAGAAATGGAAACAGCTCAAATGCCTATCAACTGATGATTAGATGAAGAAAGCATGGTCTGTCCACAAACTGCACCAGTACTCAGCAGCACAAGGGATGCAGCAACAGGGACAAACTGAAAACATTGTGCTAAGTGAAAGAAGCCAGGAACTCTTGATCACCTGTTCTAAGATTCCTTTTCCTTTTACCATGTGAACAGGTAAATCCATAGAGATGGACAGCAGATTAGAGTTGTCAGAGTCCAGGGGAGAGAGGCTGGGAAATGGCTACTGAAGGATATGGTATTTTTTGGGGGGGTCAATGAAAAGGTTCTGAAATTGGATAGAGGTGATGGCTGTACAACTCCGTACTTGTACTAAATCCCACCAAACTAGACACATTAAAAGGGTTAACTTTATAATATATGCCTCATACATCAAAAATGCTATTTCTTAAAAAACTAGATGTGGGCAACTCTGTGCCCGGATGAGGGGCTTGCTGCCTCTCACCCCAGTGGATCTGCAGTGGTTGTGACCGACTCTACTGCTGCCCTCAACCTGGACATCATTCAGCACCCGGAAGCAACCCTGGGAGGGCCCAAACCTCGGGCCTAGACACTGCCTCTGCCCTTCCTCCGCTCTCAGGTCAGCCCCTTATGCCTGTCTTTGATGCCTCTCCAGTCCTGTGATGATTTCTCTTCTCATTCTTGCAGCCCTCTGAGCCCTCCAATCCCTTGTGCCTTCTCTTGAGCTCCAGTTTCCTTTGACCTTCCCTGTTGGGTGAATCCAGAGCAATGCCCTTAAAAAGCACCAAATCCAATACAGATTCTTCTTTTCTCCTTGCTCTTTGGGGAATCTTTGCTTCTCTGTTTTGGAGGAAGGAAAGCTCAGCTGTGCCTGCCTTTGTACCATTGGTATTTTCAGTTGAAATATTCCCATTACTGTAAGGCCATGATTTGAAACACCAGTATTCAAGGTGAATAAGGGCAGGAGCACTGAGGAGCAGAGACTCTTCCTGTCCTCATTTTATATAAGGGAAATTGAGACCCAGAAAGGCGAAGTAACTTACAGAGGGCCACACAATTAGTAAACAGTAGGATTGGACTTAAATCCAGGTCTGGCTCTAGAGCCTAGACTTTTTTTTTCTCTCATTGAGTTTATTGGTACATTTTAGGTATACAGTACAGTTACATTCCTCATTGGGATCTTGTACCTTTACATGACAGGTCTTGGTTCTCATTTTTTCCCCTTGTCCCTGCCCTCCCTTCACCCCATCCTTCCCTCCCCATTTACAAACATTCTATTTCGATATTTTCATTTTCTCATATTTTTTCTTTTCCCTCATTAACTTTCTCCTATTCTTCCCTCTTTCCCTGCACCTTTAGCCCTTTTCTTCCTATTTCACATTGTCAATTATATCATTAGGATCTTATGTACCATTATAGTTTTTCACACCATAGAAACTTCGGTATTTACACATGTATGACTTATGTATTTCAATTAGGAGTATATCCCCAATATGTATCCATTTTCCTATGAATGACTCTAATTTCTCATTCTTTATGGCCGAGTAGTATTCCATTTTATAGAAAAACCACATCTTCTTTATCCAGTCTCCAACTGATGAGCAGATGGGCTGTTTCCAAGTTTTAGCTACTACAAACTGTGCCACTATAAACATGGGTGTGTATATATCACTGTGGTATGATTCTTTTAATTCTTTTGGAAAGATACCCAGCAGAGGGATGGCTGGGTCAAATGTAATCTCTAATCCTAGTTCTTTGAGATATCTCCATATTGATTTCCATAGTGGTTGTACCAGTCTGCACTCCCACCAACAATGGAGAAGGGCTCCTTTCACCCCTCAACCCCGCCAACATTTGTTATTGGTTGATTTCTTGATAACAGCCATTCTTTGTGGGGTGAGGTGGAATTAGAGCCTAGACTTTTTTTTAAATTAAGTTTATTGATACAATCTAGGTATACAATACAGTTACATTCATCATTGGGATTCTGTACCTTTACATAATAGGTCTTGATTCTTATTTTTCCCCCTTGTCCCTGCCCTCCCTTCACCCCCTCCTCTCCTCCCCATTTACAAACACTTTATTTCCATTTT